GGGGGAGGAGCACAGAGCAGATGTGGCGGCACCAGCAGCACCCACTTCAGCCCACCCCTCACATCCTGTGCAGAYCCACTTATGCCCACCTTAGGTTCACTCTGAACTTCTGAGGGAGTGGCCAATTGTAATCTCTAGAAACGCAACACAGGAGGTTAAATGGAATTAGTTGGGCCCCATTGTTAATCCTGGTCACAGACTGGGATACTACTTTGACTTCTCTCCTTTATCATTCTTCCTAGAATTTCCTCATTCCTTGCCAGTACTTCAGCTCTACTAAGACGCTTGCCTGGTGCAGTGATTCATGCCTTCATTTTTGAGGGTGTGGAGCCTTGGCTGTCATGTCCTTACCAGGCTGTGGAGCTTGGAAATACTGGATCACCTCTGTGTCCCCTTTATCCACTATCCAGCAATAACCTGAGCCTTCTGGGTGACAGCGATGACCAAATATTATACTGTCGGTCTTTGTTGCTGTTCCACCAGAGGGAAAATCCTAGTGAGTAAGGGGCAGACACTGACAGATTGCTTAGGCCCTTCCTATATTTCCAGGCACCTGTGTCCCTTTTGCATAGGAAAGGAAAAAAATTAAGAATGTGGGRAAAAAAAAGCCCACCACATGGTAGAAAATCTTTGTCAGCTTCTCCTGATAGGGGATTAATGGATAACAGCGTGATTCTTTATTTGGAAGGCCCMAAAAACTCCACCAGAAAGTTTCTAGAACTCATAAATGAATTCAGTAAAGCAGAAGGATGTAAAATTAATACCCATAAATCAGTTGCATTCCTATACAGCAATGATGAATCACCTGAAAAGAGAAATTAGGAAAACTATCCCATTCACAAGAGCCTCAAAAAAAAAAAAAAAGATACATGGGTGCCGCAGTCTGGCTGGGCACAAATCACAAGCCACTGAGGCAGGAACAAACTTTATTTTTGAACTGCAAGAAAACACTTCACACACRCTCCCGGGGAATTCTCCCGAACAACACAAGAGGCTCGTCCAGGAACCCCCAGCTGGAAATATCTCTCCCGGAAATCCCTCCTCCTGCACTTCCCCAACCAATGGGAACTCTCGGGGAATCCCCGGGAATCCCCACGAGAACTCCAAAGTATCTCGAGAACTCAAAAGTAGCAGCCTAGGGGGATATTAATGCCTCGCCTGTCAACCAATACTGTTGGCAAAATGCCAGGGGCCATACAGACTCGGCTGTGGCTCTCAGCACATGGGAATCAATCTAACAAAAGAGGTGAAAGACTTCTACAATGAAAACCACAGAACACTAAAGAAAGAAATTGAAGAAGACCTTAGAAGATGGAAAGATCTCCCATGTTCTTGTATAGGCAGAATTAACATTGTCAAAATGGCCATACTACCAAAAGTGCTATACAGATTTAATAAAATACCAATTAAAATCCCAATGATATTCTTCAAATTAAATAGAAAAAACAGTTGTGAAATTTATTTGGAAAAATAAAAAGCCCAGAATATGTAAAGTTATTCTTAGTAGGAAAAGTGAAGCAGGAGGCAACACAATACGAGATCTTAAATCATTCTACAGAGCTGTAATAACAAAAACAGCATGGTATTGGCACAAAAACAGACATGAAGACCAATGATACAGAATAGAAGACACATGAATACAGTAATCTCATATTAKACAAAGGCACCATAAACATACATTGTAGAAAAGAAAGCCTCTTCAACAAATGGTGCTGGGAAAACTTGAAATCCATATTGACTAAAAGGAAATTAAACCCATATCTTTCATCCTGCACAAAACTCAACTCAAAGTGGATCAAGGACCTATGAATTAAAACAGAGACCTTGCACCTAGAAAGAAAAAATCTGCAAAAATCTCCACCATGTCAGCTTATGAACTGAATTCCTCAACAAGACATCTCAAGTGCAAGAAGTAAAATCAAATATCCATAAATGGGTTGGCATCAAAGTAAAAAGCTTATTCATAGCTATGAAGAGAGAGCTTACAGAATGGGGGAAAATCTTTGTCACCTGCATCTCATATAGCTCATTAATTTCCAGGATATACTAACAACTCAAAAAGCTTGACACCCAAAAAACAAATAACTCAATCAATAAATGGGTAAGAAACTGAAGAGACATTTCACAGATGAAGAAATACAATCCATCAACAAACACATGAAAAAATGTTCAACATCACTAGCAGTTAGAGAAACGCAAACTAAAACTAGACTGAAATTTCATCTCACTCCATTCAGAATGGCAATCATCAAGAATTCAAGTAATAATAAATGTTGGTGAGGATGTGGGGGAAAAGGTTCACTTACACATTGCAGGTGGGACTGAAAATTGGAGCAACGACCCTGGAAATCAGTATGGAGATTCCTCAGGAAACTTGGAATGGAACCACCATTTGAACCAATTATCCCACTCCTCAACATATACCCAAAAGACTTAAAATTGTTATACTATAATGATATAGCCACACCAAGATTTATAGCARCACAACTTATAATACATAAGCTATGGAACCAAACGTGGTGACTTTTAACAGATGAATGGATAAAGGAAATGTGGTACATATACACAATGGAATATTACTTAGCCATAAAAAAATAAAGCTATGGCATTTTTCATAACCTGCAAGAATTGGGGCATGGCTTTGGGGTATATATTTGTATATGGCAAGAGGACACCTTGCTGTCTGCTTCCTGATCATGGTGTGATCTCTGCCACACTCTCCGGCCATGAAGTTCTGGTGAACCTCAAGCCTGGAGGAATGGAGTCAGCTTCTATGGACTAAGACCTTTGAAACCATGAGCCCCTGAATAAACCTTTTCTCCTCTACAATTATGCTGGTCAGGTCCTTTCGTCATGACAGCAGAAAAGCTGACTATAACAAGTTTAAAGATAAAAATATAGGGCTGGGGATGTGGCTAAAGTGGTAGCGCACTCGCCTGGCATGCGCGGGGGGTTGGGTTCGATCCTCAGCACCTCATAAAAATAAAAAAAGGTGTTGTATCCACCAAAAACTGGAAAATAAATATTTTAAAAAAATTCTCTCTCTCTCTCTAAAAAAAAAAAAAAAAGATAAAAATATAAATCTATGTCCCCAGAGTGATGTAGCAATATGATGTAGCAAGGCACCCACAGACTGGCTATGTGGTATTCCAAGGCAACCACAGTCACATGGGGCTGTTCTCCAGTGATCCACCAGCTCTCTTAATTCCTGCAAGTATTTGCTTTTACGAAGGGGGCTAGCTGTAATGTGCACCCCTGAATTTGATCCAAGAACAATAAAAGAACATTAGTTGGAAAGTGGTRAGATCTGAAGAGAGTGTGCTGTTTGATCAACAGTAAKGTCCCAGTGTTAATTTCTTGGCTTGGAACAATGTAGCTTGGTATATAAAACATTAACACTCTGGGAATCTGGGTAAAGTGCACATGGGAACTTCCACCATATCCATGCAATTTTTCTAGAAATCTAGAATTATTTAAAGGTTAAGAGTTTATTACGAAGTGGGAGGGAGACTTAAGTAACTGCACACTAGGACTCCCACCTGAACTCCAGTGATGTTCTGATAGCACCAGCAGAGAGGAATACACACTGTAATCTCAAAAAGAAGCCTAGGAAGAAGTAGCAACCGGGAGAGGGGCATGTGGGGCTCCCACGTGCTGGTTGCGTTCTACTTCTTAACCTGGACTGGGGGTGGCACATGTGTCTTCATTGTATGGTAGTTGACTGAACTCTGTTTTTTGTTTAATTATCCTTCAGTATAAGACAGGTTTTAACATACTTCCATTTTACTGGTAAACATTCCCCTGTTACTGATGAAGATTCGAGTGAAGAGAGTATATGGAAACAGATGGGGTCTAGAGGTAGGTGGGGGATCCT